GTGGGATCTCCGCACCGCTCGGCTCCCCATCCCAGGTTCTAGGAGGAAAGGGACTCCCCAAAGCATTTTATCCCTGATTTTACTGAACCGGGATGACTAAATTCAAGAGCTCCAAAAGACCCAGACCAACGCTGCTCTCCCGAGACCCCCGGCGTGACTGTGGCCACACTGCTCTACCTCCCACATTCCCCCTCCACCTGCCTCAGGGTGGAAAACATTGTCCGCATTCACGTAACACGCAGCAGAAGGGTCCTGCTAGGTGCTGCTCCAGACACCTTCCCTGATGGACACAGCTTTAAGGAGATTATTTTACTCCTGTGATGCAGCACCAAGGAGCCCATGGCCCAGCTGGAAGAAGCACCACGGTTTGGAGCATCTGAGTTTCTGCTGCTCACGAAACACTTTGAGGCTGAAAGAGAACACGGCGCTCCTGCAGGACAGCGTGCTCCTCCCAGGACCTGCATTTCGGAGCCGCCGGGTGACGCATCCGTATGAGTGCAATTTGGTACAGGCCCCTTCCCCGATCTCAGGCCCTCGGGTTGGGAACATGGCAGAGCTGAGCCATCCCCTTCCTCCCAGCTGCCTCGCCAGTGGGCTCCCGAATTCAGCTGTACCACATTAAATGCTCCTAAACCCGAGATACAGAAAGAAATGCAGCACCATGCTTCCCGCTGAGGCAGGTGCTGCCAGCGGGCTCCTGGGGATGACGCCAATGCTGAATAAGCCATTGCTGGTGCCACTTGTTTCCTCTTATGGGAAGTGGAAAAAGAAAACTCATCAGCAACCCTCAGCTACTTTGACTGCTCTGTTTTAGGCCGGTTCCTCCATTCTTGAAGGCAGAGGTGCTGCTGATGGGAACCTTTCAGCTTCCAGCAATAGAGATCCACTGCCTAGGAAGGGACGTGGGGAAAGCAAAGGGACGTGGGGAAAGCAAAGGGACGTGGGGAAAGCAAAGGGACAAAGGGACGTGGGGAAAGCAAAGGGACAAAGGGACGTGGGGAAAGCAAAGGGACGTGGGGAAAGCGCTGCTGCTGCTGCTCTTCCAGAGAAACAAGCCACCTAAGCATCACACGAGCATTTAAACCGTGCCCAGGAGACCCCGGATCCCTGGGTGTTACAGCAAGAGGGCCCACTGCAGCTCCACTGATCTTTTTACAGACTGACAGCCCAGAACAGGAGTTTTCATCTACCCAGCCTGGCGTGTGCCTTCAGGAGGGTCTGAAGAGGCAGGCGGGAAGGAAGGAAGGAAGCAAATGCAGGGAGATGCATCCACTTCAGCCCTGTATAAACACACGTCCCCTGCTCAGCGGAGGGGTATATGCTGGCACCTAAAGTGGAGGGAGAGGCACAGAGGAGCAGGATCTCAAAGGGCAAGCTTCTACGAAGCACCTCACCTAGAAAACAGAGGGTCAGCTGAAGGTTAGTAGGGAAAGAACACTCCTAGGAGCAAGCAACACACCCTCTCGCAGCTGCAAATAAGACACTAAGCATATCAGTAAAACGCAGCAAGTTGGCACAATTAAAGAAAATTAAGGCAGACAAAAAAAAAAACAAACCTAAATGTTGAGACGTGTTACTGAAGCCGTGGGGACTTCACACAACTATTCTCTGCTGATACGAAGCAACCTCAAGGCAACGCAAAAGGCCAGGCAGGCATGAGGCAGTGACTGCTCCCACACCTCTGAGCAGCACTGCATATCCCCAGCCTCGGTGAATAAACCCCCAGACCAGGCACAGACACCAGCGGGGCAAGATAAAATCCCAAGCATGGAAGAGGAAAATGAGTGGCTGAGGATACGAGAGCCAGCAGCTAAAGAGCCTTGTGCTGCTGAACCGAATCATTTTTTCCATTCTTATTGACAGCAGTGAAGTTACGTGGTGTACCCCGTCCTGCAGACAGTGTGTAACCACGGACACAGATCCCACCCCCGTGATCAACCCTCCCCCTGCCCAAGCCTCTCCCCACAGCCAGCACAGTGCCCCAAGGGCTCACACCAGCCCCATACACACTCCCTAGGAAGATGATTTTTCTAACGATTGCCCTAACTTGAGCCAGCCTTAGCTCTCACCCAGCCTGCAGCAAGGCAGGACTGTGAGTCTACTGTTCCATCCCGAGCTCGGATCAAACCTTCACACCTCCCCGAGGGGACCAGGACCATCCCTCCCACTGGCCAGGCTGTGTCCGGCCACAAAACATCCCCCCTGCACTGCCACGGCACGGCACCGGTGCCCTGCACTGTGCCACCGAACCTCCAGGGCTGGCAGGACCCTGCAGCTCCCACCTGAGTTGTAAATATACCCTCCAGTGCCCCGCCGCAGAGGAACTGCCCAAAGCCAGCGAGCACCACAGATTATCCTGCACCTTCTGGAACAGGAATCACTAATTAACAGCAGTAATGAGCGCAGATGACGCTCTGTGAGCCCAGCGGGCTGGCAGCCAGCACGTCCTCTCACAAACCTGTTACCAACCATCCCACGTGCTTTTTCCAACAGGGTCCTGACAGGTTAAGGTGCCCCCTTTTCATAACTCATGGGTAAAAGCCTTGCCAAACTCACCGCGGCGTTAGCAAGGTGCCCCAAACCGCGGCACAGCAATCGCTGAGCAATCCGAAACCCCAAAGCGCCGGCATCTGGCCCTTAATGAACCCAGATGGCACAAAGGGCCACGAGAGCGGCTGTATGAAATAATGAGTCACAACTCGCACATCCCATCAACTGATAGCTGGGGAATAAAACCCCCAAACAAAGTAAAGTCCCAAGGTGTCCCCTGCACTACCGGCAAATCTGAACACGGGGATCCCCAGCCCCGCGGGGCCCAAAGCATCGTGTTCTGGAGAGCCAGGTAGATTTTAAGCAGCACAAGTCCAGTGATCACCTCGGGGAGGGGTGGTAACAACTGCAGCGTCCCTCCTGAAATGCCAGCTGAGCACCCTCAGAGATGTTGCGGCCCTTGTTCTGGAGGCATCGGGATGCATCCTCAGCCCCACCGACAGCTTCCCGCTGCAGGAGGGATGCTCTCCCCCCGGGCAAGCTGGGCTCTGCAGGGCTCCAAGGCCGGGCACCTCCTGCCACAGAATTCCCAGCCTGGCTGGACCCGAGTAAGGACCGACACCCTCTGAAAAGCCCCTCGGGGTCCCAAAGCGCTGAGGCCATTCAGCCCAGCCGCCGGAGCCACGCAGGACGCGGCCCACAGCTCCCACGGGGCAGCAAACCGGGTGAAGGCAAGTGCTTGTCCGAGGCGGCCGCTCACCACCGCACGCCCCGAGCGAGGGCGGGCAGCAACACCCGGCGTGAACCCCCACTGCTGCTCGGGGACGGTACCCCTGACAAATCTGGTAACTCTGGTGAACTGAATACGGTATGAAGCACCTGCAGAGAAGCAGCACCCCTATAATTCATCTCCTTTGGGCAGAAGCAGTTTCACAAACTCCTTTTTGTCAAGTTTAGGGCTTTCACTCCCCCCCCCCCAATAAAACCTCCACAGAGGAGACGGCGTGCACAGGCTATCTGACCAGGGCCCTCCATGCCCAGTTCTCAGCTTATTCCACGTCTCAGCAGAACGCGGTACCGATCCCTTCCCACGGACCCACGCGGTGCCTTGCCGCGCCCCGAGCCACGGCACTGCCCACACGGAGGCCAGGGACCGCCGGTAGCCACGGCTCTGAGCCCCCAAACCCCCGGGGGAGCTGCCCCACCGCGGGCAGGGAAACCCACGCGTCCAGTGCTGCCCACGGAGCGTGACGCCGGGCGGTGGCTCCGGGTGCCGGCGAGGACACGATCCCCGGTGGCGGTGGTAGTGGGAAGGGGAGCGAACCCCGGGTCTGACCCCCAGGACGGACACGGGGGGGAAGGCGCTGAGTGCGGGAGAGAACGGAGCTCCGGAGGCAGCGGGGGAACGGCCCGGCCCGGCCCAGCCCGCAGCGAAGCCCGGCGGCCCGAGGAGCGCACGGCCAGAGCCCGCCGCTGGAAAGGGGGGGGGGGGGGGAAGAGCCGTGTAACGGGGGAAGGGCCGTTTCACGGGGGTAAGGGCTGCTTAACGGGGGAAGGGCCGTGTAACGGGGCGGCCCGGCCCGTACCTGCTGCTGTCGCCGCCCGCTGCCACCGGCCCAGCGGAAGTGAGCGCGGAGCGGGGGAGCGCTTCCGGGGCGTGGCTATGGGAGATATGGGCGTGGCTTGGTGCGCCAGGGGCGGGGTTAAGGCGGGGAATGGACGGGGCCGCTGTGGGACCCCTCACGCGCCCCAGCATGCACCGGGGGGCCTGGCCATCACCCCGCCGAGGGAGCGGCGGGAGTGCTGATTGGCTGGGCTCGGTCCGCCCGGCCGCTGATTGGCTGAGAGCCGCAGGCCGGCGTGGTACCCGCGGGCGGGTTGGAGCCGCGCGTGTGCTGATTGGCCGGCTGGCCCCAGCGCGCGGCCGGGCCGCGCTGTCTACGAGCGCTGATTGGCCGGGCGGCCCGTGTCTGCCGACCCCCCACCTCGGGCAGGTTTGGGGGTGCCGAGGCGGGGGGTCCCCCCCCCCCCCCAGTTCCCCCCAGTTCCTCGCAGCCGGACCCTCCCTTCCTCTGCCCGCTTGGGGCGCAGGGCCCCCCCTTAGCAGCCCGGACCCCCCCCAGTAGGGTCCGACCCCCGGGGGTCCACGAAGTTGGGGTGTGGGGGGGCGTCCAGGCGCTGCGCCCCCCTCGCTCCCCCCCAAGATCCTTGCCTGGGCTCCTTCCCCCCACCCGTGGGGTGTCCGCGCTTCCCCCCCCCCCCCCCTCACCCCACGGCAGGTCCCGGCTCCCTTCGGAGGGGTCCCGCTCCCCGCCCGGGGGGGGTCCTGGCTTCCTTCTCGGTTACCCCCCGCCCCCCAGCACAGGTCTCCGCTCCCCACGCAGGGCGGGGCAGTGTGGGTGTGGGTGTCCCCCCCCCCGGCGGGCTGCGGCGGCGGCGCGGGGCGGTACCGGAGCCCACCCCCGCTGCCGGTGGCGGGGCGGGGCGGCCCCCCCGAGCCCTATAAAACGGGCGGCGGTGCCGCAGCGAGGGACCGGGGTTCGCCATGAGCCTGATGCTGGAGACGCTGCTGGGCCCCCCCCCGGGGGGGTTCCGCAAGGACCCCACCCGCGCTCCCCCGCGCTCCGCCACCTCCAGCGGCTTCCACTCGTGGCCGGGCCCGGTGGTGGGGCGGGTTCGGGGCGGGGGGGGCAGCGCGGCCGCTTCCTCCACCGAGAGCCTGGACTCGCTGAACGGGGAACCGCGGGCGCGGAACGAGAAGGAGCTGCTGCAGGTGCTGAACGACCGGTTCGCCGGTTACATCGAGCGGGTGCGGGCGCTGGAGCAGCAGAACCGGGCGCTGGCGGCGGAGGCGGCGGCGCTGCGGCAGCAGCAGGCGGGGCGCTCGGCCATGGGCGAGCTGTACGCGCGGGAGCTGCGCGACATGCGGGGCACGGTCCTGCGGCTGGGCGCCGAGAAGGGGCAGCTGCGGCTGGAGCGGGCTCGCCTGGCCGAGGACGTGGCCGCGCTCCGGGGGAGGCTGGAGGAGGAAGCCCGGCAGCGAACCGAGCTGGAGGCGGCGGCCCGCGGGCTGGCGCAGCGCTCCGCGCAGGCGGAACGGGCGCGGGGGCCGCTGGAGGAGCGAGCCCGAGCCCTGCGGGAGGAGGCGGAGTTGCTGCGGCGGCAGCACCGGGTCGAGGTGGGCGCCTTGCTGCGGGGGGCCCGCCCCGAACCCCCCGACGAGCCCCCCGCCGCCCTGCGCCCGGGGGTCACCGCCGCCCTCCGCGACCTGCGCGCCCAGCTGGAGGGCACGGCGGCCCGCAGCACCCTGCAAGCTGAGGAGTGGTTCCGCGGTGAGTACCGCGCCCCGCGGAAATCGGGGGGGGGGGGGGGGGGGGGGGCTCGGCCGGCAGCCCCCCCCTCCCCGCCGCTGCGGGGGTTACCACGCTCTGGGTGGGGGTTAGAGCAACCGCGCCACGGGGATTGCAGGGACACTCCCCCCCGCCCCATGTCCACCGTGCTGCGGGACGACATTAGGGTAACCCCACCCCGAGGGGGCGGGAGGGGGGTGCAGGGGCCCCCCAGTATATCTAGAGCGCTAGCAGGGCGTTGGTTTAACGCCACCTCCGCCACCAGTGTCCCCCCCCGGCCCTGCAGTGCGTCTCGGGGAAGGGTGGCAGGGTCACTGCCGCGGCACCCCGCAAGTTTTCGGGGGGACGGCCCCCCCCCCCCGCTCCTTAATGCTGCAGGGTGTCCTACCGGTCCCTCCCCGCTGGAGCGGGGCCATGAGTGTGTGCGGGGCGCGGCAGGGCGGGGATTACGGGGTGGGGGGTGTTGTTGCCGCATCACTGATGCGGGGGAGGGGGGAGCAGGGAGTGTCCCTGCTGCGCTGTTGGGGGGGTGGGGGGGGGGACGGACACACACTACGGTACCGGAGGGAGGGGGAAAAAGGGGAGGGGGGGTCGGTCCCCCGGGGCTCACCACCCCTGAACGCGCCCGGGCTCCGACGGGAGGGGGTTCAGCACCGCGGACAGCGGCGGTTCAGCACCGCGGACAGCGGCAGCGCAGCACCCATGGGTGCGGAGGGTGCCCGGGGGATCAGCGGGCTCTGTCCCACCCCTCCGGCCCCCGGGGGGGCTGCGGGGCGTTGCGGCAAAGCCCCTGCCCACCCTCAGGGAGCCAGGCCTGGCGCAGGGTGAGCAGGCAGCCCTTCAGGTCCGGGGGGGGTGGGGGTGGGGGGGGGCGGGCGGGTTATGGCTGGAGCTGAAGGGCAGAGGGAGGTTTGCAGCGTGGGTTTGCCCTGGATGAAGTCCAGGATGGAAAAAACATCCTCCCGGCTTATCCTGCCCGGGCACCTTCATCTCCCTGGCACAGCGAGAGCGCTGACAAAGCTGGCTCTGCAGAGGACACACACACCAGGGCTGTGCAGTGTTAAAGGATTTGAGGTTCCCAGAGAAGGGGAGACTGCAGCCTCCCTCCCCACAGCTTCTCCTTTCCCCCGTTGCAGTGAGGCTGGACAAGCTCTCGGAGGTTGCCAAGGTGAACACGGATGCCATCCGCTTGGCCCAGGAGGAGATCTGCGAGTACCGCCGCCAGCTCCAGTCCAAGACCACTGAGCTCGAAGCCCTCAAAGGGACTCAGGAGTCACTGGAGAGGCAGCGACAGGACTCGGAGGAGCGTCATCATGCAGATGTCCTGTCCTACCAGGTAATGTTTGCCATGGGCAGGGTCCCAGACCATCCTGTGGGGAGGGACCACCCAGCTGTAGGGGAGGAGCAGCACTGGCGCTTTGGCTGCGGAGACGGTGATGACCTGTGGCAAAGACTCAGGGTTGCATCTAGAGCCAGACTTCCCCAGCTCCTGGGGATCGGGTATCCAGAGCCTGAGGTTGCATCTGGGCTGTTGTGTCCCTCAGCCACGATGTAGCTGTCCCACGTCTGCCGGGCTCTGAGCTGCCCGTGATGGTGGTCACAAATGCCGCTGAACTGCACGCAGGGTTCAGGCCGTGTCTTATTTCCCAGAGCTGGGAAACGCAGCACAGAGGGCTGCAGCACGTGGTGGCCAGGGATTAAGGCGCTGTCTCCAGGGCCTCAGGCTGGGGTTTGGTGTCCACCAGACTCACCTGAGTCCCAGAAACATTCCCACAACTTGTCCCTGCTGGAGGGAGCTCTGGGAGGGGGTTCAGCTGGCAGCTCTCAGCTGAGGGGGGGCAGAGCTCCTGGCAGTTCCCCCAGGGGAATGGTGGATGAGTCCCCTCTGTGTCTGCAGGGGGAGGAGATAGACTGGTGCTGGGTGAGCAGTCCCTCCTTGGAGACCAGAGGACTGTTTAGGGGTGCTCTGCATCCCTCTGCTCCTGGGGACCAGCCCCGCAGTGTCACCAGTTGCTCTGTCTGCCTGCAGGAAACCATCCAGCAGCTTGACAGCGAGCTGAGGAACACCAAGTGGGAGATGGCAGCTCAGCTCCGGGAGTACCAGGATCTGCTCAACGTCAAAATGGCCCTGGACATTGAAATTGCTGCCTATCGGTAGGCGGTGGGCAAGGGGAAGGTGGGAGGGTCTCAGCCAGGCCCTAGTGCTGGTGTCTCTGGGGCCACTCCTCGAGGGCCCTCGCTAACACCTGGGCCCTTCTTGGTGAGAAAGAGATCATCCATCCTCCACGACCATGGTGGACAACATCCAACTGGGTGACCCAGCCTTGCCCAGGGTTTGTGGAGGGAAGGGTGAGGAAATCGGTACAGCCCAGGGTGTAGGAGCCGGAGGGTCAGCCAGGACATAGAAAGCAGGGCAAGGAGGGAGATGGAGCTGCAGGGCATGGCTCCAGCTCCTGGTCATGGGAGGCAGTGAGAGCTGGGTGCGAAGCAATCGCTGACTGCCCTACTCTGGTCTCTTCCTGGCAGAAAGCTCTTGGAAGGGGAGGAATATCGGATTGAGTCTGGCTTTGGAATGCTCTCCTTCCCCGAGGTGGTCCCCAAGGCTCCCAGCATCATCACCGACATCAAGATGAAGAGTGAGGAGAAGATCAAGGTGGTGGAAAAATCTGAGAAGGAAACAGTGATTGTGGAGGAGCAGACAGAGGAAATCCAGGTGACTGAGGAGGTCACAGAGGAGGAAGAGGAGGCTGAGAAAGAAGCTGAAGAAGAGAAAGGAGAGAAGGCCGAAGAAGAGGGTGAAGAGGAGGTGAAGCCTCCTGCAAAAGAAGAGGCCAAGTCCCCAGAGAAACCTGAGTCCCCCTCAAAGGAGGAGGCCAAGATCCCAGCTGTCAAGTCCCCAGAAAAACCTGCAACCCCCTCAAAAGAGGAGGCCAAGAGCCCCGCTGTCAAATCCCCAGAAAAACCTGCAACCCCCTCAAAAGAGGAGGCCAAGAGCCCCGCTGTCAAATCCCCAGAAAAACCTGCAACCCCCTCAAAAGAGGAGGCCAAGAGCCCCGCTGTCAAATCCCCAGAAAAACCTGCAACCCCCTCAAAAGAGGAGGCCAAGAGTCCAGCTGTGAAGTCTCCAGAGAAACCTGCAACCCCCTCAAAAGAGGAGGCCAAGAGCCCCGCAGTCAAATCCCCAGAAAAACCTGCAACCCCCTCAAAAGAGGAGGCCAAGAGCCCCGCTGTCAAATCCCCAGAGAAACCTGCAACCCCCTCAAAAGAGGAGGCCAAGAGTCCAGCTGTGAAGTCTCCAGAGAAACCTGCAACCCCCTCAAAGGAGGAGGCCAAGACTCCAGCTGTCAAATCCCCTGAAAAGCCCTTGACCCCCTCAAAAGAGGAGGCGAAGACCCCAACAGTGAAGTCCCCAGAGAAACCTGCACCCCCTGCAAAGGATGAGTCCAAGACCCTGGTGGTGAAGTCCCCAGAGAAACCCACACCCCCCTCAAAAGAGGGGGCCAAGACCCTGGCTGTGAAGTCCCCAGAGAAACCCTCAACCCCCTTGAAAGAAGAGGCCAAGACATTGGCTGTGAAGTCCCCAGAGAAACCTGCAACTCCCTCAAAGGAGGAAGCCAAACCCCCATCTGTCAAATCCCCAGAAAAACCCCCAACCCCCTCTAAAGAGGAGACCAAGACCCCAGCTGTGAAGTCCCCAGAGAAGCCCCCAACCCCCTCAAAGGAGGAGGCCAAGACCCCAGCTGTCAAGTCCCCTGAGAAAGTCCAATCTCCTGTGAAGGAGGAGGCCAAGTCTCCACAGAAGGACGCAGCCCCTGCCAAGGAGCCCACTCCCTCCCCTCCAAAGGAGCCAAAAGCCCCTGCAAAGGAAGAGCAGCCCAAGGAGGCGAAGGCTCCCTCCAAGCCCAGTGCTGAGGAGGGCAGGAAAGAGGAAGCTCCCAAGAAGGATGTCCCAGCCAAGGTGGAGGAGAAGCCCAAAGAGAAGGCGGCTGCTGTACCGGAGCCTCCAGCCCCACAGGTGAAGGAGGAGACCACCAAGCCGGGCCCCAAACCTGTGGAAGAAGGGAAGGCTGAGAAGGAGGCTCCATCAAAACCTCAGCAGGAGGTCAGCAAAGCAGCTGGGAAGGAGGCTGAGAAGAAGGCAGAGGAGCTCAAGAAGGAGGTGGTGGAGGAGCCCAAAGCTAAAGCGAAACCCAAAGATGAGCCCAAAGCCAGTAAAGAGCCCCCCAAGGCCGAGGGCCCCTCCAGCAAGGAGGGCAAAGCCCCAGAGCCGGTGCCTGCTGCAGGGAAGAAGTGAGCAGAGCCCTGAGCACCGAAGAGCACCTGTGGGTGCGGGAGCTGCTCCGCTCCGCGGGCCGGGCCCAGGGTGGGGACACCCTGCCAGGCCGGGCTTTTCCTTAGCAATATGTCCGTGTGAGAGATGCAGCCCCGGTGGTTGGGCCGATAGCTTCCCTAGCAGAATGTGATATACGCCGAGCGCCACATTTAAACACTTGAATTATAACCGAGGAGAAGAGACCCCGGGGGAACCGCCTGCCCTTCTCCAATAAGTGCATTTATTTAATGTATGTGCAATCAATGGATGAGTGCAATGCAGAGCTCTAGCTGCTTGGGGGGGGGTGGGGTGGGTGGGAGGGTGGTGGCAGGGTCCTGGAGGTGACAATTGTCCCTCCAAAGGGTGACCCAGGCTGCAGCCAGCTTGGGTGGGAGAGGCTGGGCACTGCGGGAAGGCTCACAAGACACACAGTGCACTAGGAACCTCAGCCCACTGTTCCTTGCTTTCTGTGCAATAACCAAATAAAGTGCTTATAGAGACACCTGGCTCTGCTGGCCTCCTGCATGGGGTGGGGGGGAAGAGATGGGGAAGGCAGAAAAGCCTGACCCAAGGGTGCGGGATCTGTCACACAAGGCCGGGGGGGGTGACACAGGGCTTTCTTGCACTTTCTTCCCTGGAGGAAAGCTCAGCCCTTGCCCAGGAGAGGCCACCCCAGGGCAGGCACTAAGGACACTGTGTCCTGGGGGGCTCCCTCACACAGGCTGGAAAAAAGAGGAGCGGGGAGATGGTCTGCCAGCCTTTTCCCGCGGGGGGAGAAATCACTCCCAGGAGGGACAACAACTTGGGGATGGGGGATGGAGCCCAACAGGACCCACAGCAGCGAGGTGCTGGGATTCCCCCTCCAAGCCCTGACCCCTCACAGGATGGCAGGAGCTCCTGCCTCTCACAGGCCAGTGCTCTCCTCACCCCCCCTGCCCCGCCCCCCCATCGTTACAGGGTTTGTGCTGAGTCAGCTGGTTGGCAGCAGGGCAGGCAAGGACAGGCTGGGGCTGCAGTGCAGGCTCTGGAAAGGGGCTATTTTTAGCTGTCTTGGTTTTTAGCCCTCGTGGTTCCCTAGGCCCTGTGGTGAGGAGGGAGGACAGGCAGTGCCCCAGGCAAGGTGACATGCCAGCAGCAAGATGACTGCCACAGCCCAGGGCCTGGGGTTCCTGCAGCACCCCTGGGCCCCCTCCATCCCTGCCCTCCACCCAGACAGGGCCTACGCACACACTTTTCCTTCAGTTCAGCATTTAATTCCTTGAGCTACAAAACCTCCAACACAAAACGCAAAACCTCAGAAGATAAACTGTAACGGTGGGATGGGGATGCTCCTCTCTGTGGCCACGACAAGGCCCAGCCAGTGCTCAGCGATGGCTGAAGAATCCCTGAGGGTAGTTGAACTTGAAGGGCTTCAGGCGCATGGGCCCCCTGGAAGAGGAGAAGAGGGAGAGGCTGACCCACGGGGGTCAGGAAGCCCATGGCACAGACACAACAGGCCTGGTCCTGGGGCACTGCCCAGCTGTGGGGGGCAGATCCCCACAGGCAGCTAAAGGAGAAGCTGCAAGGTGGGCAACCAGGTCAAGCAAGGTTGTGCTCCAGGGAACAGCAGTGCCACCAGTGTCCCTGTCAGCACCCTCACCCCCCACCCGGCTCCTCCTCAACGCAGGGAGCCGGGCTCTCACCTGACCAGGCGCAGACACATCTTCTCCTGGGGAAACTCCTTGGGTCCCTCCACGCTGGTGTCGTGGGGCTCCGTCTCCAGGTAGACATCCAGCACCATGCACAGGCGCTGCAGCTGGTTGGTGAGGAGCTGGTAGCCCGGTTTGGGCCCCCACAGCTCCTTGTAGTTCACGTTGACCTCACTCTCCATGGCCTGGCAGAGGGAGCGGTACGGCACAGGTTTGGGTCCCTGCTCTGCCCTCCCAGGACTCACGGCTGTAGCTGGCAAGTCTCACGGGCCTGCCCTGAGCTGCCTGGCCACCAGCTCACCCCAGCGGCTTGATTATTATGGACACAGAATCCCTGAGAACACCCCCTTAAAAGCCAGAGGTTCTCCAGCCTCCTCTCCCAGCACCCCGGGTTACCCGAATGTTGTCATCATTGCTGCTGGTTCGCTCTCCTTTCCAGTTCAGGCACAGGCTGAAGACAGGCGGCAGAGTGGAGTAACCGGGGTTCAGGACCACGGCCGCCTGGAGCTTGGCTGAGAAGGGCAGGAGAGAAACGTCACCCACAGCTCCCAGGGCCTCCAACCGGAGGGATGCCCCATGAAGACCCCCCAGAAGCTGACCTGGGGACGTCCAGTGTGGGAATTAGACATTGCCAGGGGAAGGAAACACACCTACCCGTTCCTCTTTCTATCAGGGCCATGTAGTAGAGGTGAGTGTCTTCAGCCAAGCTGGCCTCTATCACATCTTTAGTGTAGGGAAGCTCCTGCGAGGGGAGACAAGAGGAGTGAGCAGCTGCCGGCGCCGTGTGGGAGCTGGAAGGGATACAGCCTCGTGCCGGGCACCTACTGCGTAATCTTCATAGGGGATGGCAGCCCACTTCACCAGGCGCGAGACGATCTTGGTAGGGAAGAGATGCTGGCACTCGCTGGAGACTGGCACAACACCATGCTCTGAAACCAAGGACAAGGCCACCTGAGCAGGGGAGGAGGGCTGGGGACAGTGCTCTGTCACTGTCCTGTGGGTGGGGATGTTCCAAAACCGGGATCTGGGGACATTGTTTATCCTTCTGACACTTCCATCAGGTGCCCAGAGAGGAGCAGCAGAGGCCTCGACTACAATCCCACTGGAGCTCGCAGCCTTGGCCTGCTCCATGGGCACACGACACACGTGGGGTTGTGGTTCATCTCCCACCACAGCCCAAATCAATTCCCAGCGTAGGGGTGGCCAGTCCCAAAGGGGTGTTGGGCATCGAGAGGGGGCACAGCCTTCCCCTCCCACCCAAAACAGGGCAGCCCAAACAGCCCCCTCCCAGTGACGACAGAGGGAACGACTGGGAACACTGAGGGTGGCACTGCAGATCTGTAACACCATTAAAGGTGACATCAGTCAGTTCTCCTCTGCAAGAGGACCCTGCTACTGCACCCCCCCGCCCACAGGCACGGGGTGGGGAGCCAGGCACTCACCCAGGGATGCAAACTGCTTGTGGAGAGCCAGGCGGGACTGCAGCCTCGTCCGCAGCAGCTTCACCGTCAGCTCCATGTGGCTGGCGCTCAGCGAGTTGTCCGCAGTGACCGTGTGCTGTGGGCAGGAGGGGCTGTCACCATCACGCCAGCCCGTGGGCCCCCCACTGGGGACCCCACAGTCCGGGAACTACCCCACCCAGCCACAGTGATAGATACATGCTAGAGTAGCTGCTCAGTGTCTATAACAGGGCTTAGACTATCACACGCAGGATATAAAATATGTTGGTGCAGACCTGCTGCACAGATTCATCCCAGCTGAGCCTGTCCCAGCCAAGGGTGCACCATGGTTTGGGAGCGGCGGGTGCCAGCAGGAGCTCTGGGGGGACAGGACACGACAAAAGTGTCCCCCAAACCTCCCTAAATCCCAGCTTGACGTGTTCGTGGAGAGAGGAAGGGAGGGGGTGCGACGTGCCTGAGGTTGATCCTTGGGGAAATGCAGGCCGCCCAGCTTCTGCACCCACACGTAGGGGTGCCCCAGCTCTGTCACGTAGTCACTCAGGGTCACGATGCTGTGGGGACAACGAGGAAGGGTTACGCCAGCCCAGAGCATTCCTGTCCCCCGCTGTTTCCCCACTGCCCGGCCTGTGAGCCAGCTGGGAGGGGCAGGTGCCTCTTTCGCCTGCGCCCCAAGCCGTGCCCGGTGAGCCCCCCGATGCCGACAGGCAGGACACCCACCTCCCGGCCACTGAGCTCTCCCGGAGAAGCTGGGGAGGGACGGGATGCGCCGAGAGCGGGGCATTCCCACCAACCACCCGGGCAGCTGCGCGGGGCAGCGCCCCACTCACCCTACTTTATCAAACTGGAACTGGTTGGCTGGGTTGGGCGTTTTCCTCCCGTGGTCTCCTGGATAGAGGCAGTTGAGGATGGAGTCTGGGGAAAGCAGGTCACTGGCAGGAGGAAGGAAGCGATTAATCAGCAGCAGCCTGGGCTTCGTGTCTCTTTGGGACAGCCACTAACGGGCTCCAGAGAAGGGGATTACGATCCCCAGGAGTTGGGTTTCAAGACCAAAATGGCTTTCCCCTAATTCCACTCCGAAAGGACATCTGTCTCCTCCTTGGCTGTGAAGACAGAAATCACAGGGCACCAGCTCCCTGGTTTCCCAGGGAGCTGCTCACTCCGGTGCATTAACTCCAAAAACTGCTGATGCCTATGGAGAGAACATCGCCAGCACAGGCAGGGCGTGGCCCGATGGCTGTTTGCCACCCAACAAGCTCAAAGCAGAGGGATTCTGCTTAATGAAAGAAAATGCTTTCTGTCTGACTATTCACAAGCCCAACCAAGCATAAAGGGCTGTAGGGCTTGGCGTAATACAGCCAAGGGCTGCTGCGAGGGAGGGAGCACCCTGCACAGGAACCCTGCGGAGAGACTCGAGCTGCTGTCACTGAGGAGTTTGGGTAGCTCTGGGAAAAGAAAATCCCAAGAGGATTGGGAGGCCTCACATGGGACAGGCTGGGAGGCAGCACTTGCTTTCAAGTAAATCCAGACCAGCCTCTGCTGCCTCCCTCCTCCTCAGGCACCTCCTCCTGGCGCGGGCAGAGACACTGGAGAGCCAGCAGCTGATCAGAGCTCCCTGGGCAGGCTCCCAGAGCTGCCATTTCAGCTATTCCTCACACAAATGAGGCTCCAGCAGTCTCTGGGGAGCCCAGGGAGAGGCAGCCGTATCTCCAGTGCTCAAGACAAGGTGACCTGCAGAGCAAGCAGGCGAAGGGAGCTGCCAGGCACAGGCTGCAGGAGGGAGGAAAGCAGCACGGCTGCAAGAGTGTGACTGAATGCGACAACCAGGAGAAGTTCATCCCCAGCTCCGCACAGGTCTGGCACTGTGGCCCTAAGAGGTTCCCAACCTCTCTGCCCATGGCTTGTCACGACAGAGGGAGAGGAGGAGGATGCTGCCTGGGCTGGGGCAGCCTGGCAGGGCTCCTGGCAAGGCCCTGGAGCTAAGGGGAAGGACACCGCAGGGCAGGGGAGCGGATCACCTTGGAAGCGCTCCCCAGAGGCAGAGATGGAGCTGTGGTCTTTGGGGTCTCCTATGCCCATCAAAGGACAAGCCAAGACAACACTTTGAAACCACAGCTCTGCACAAAGGCCCTTAAAGTGCCCCAGGTAGGGCAAGGTGAGGGACTGAGGTTAAAACCTCACCCGCTGGGAGCAGGCAACTGGGCACGGAGTGCCTCAGCCCATGGGGCGCAGGAGCTACGGTTCAGCAGAAGGACATTGCCACCACGTGCTGCTCTTGGCACAACGTTGCTCTGCCAGTGGGTGACTCTGTTCAGAGCATGGCAGGACACCAGGGCAGGGCATTCGGGGCAAATG